AGATGCCATGAGAAGGAGGGACYTGGTTGAYAACTTTTTTTTTTTTTTTTTTTTTTTTTTTTTTCCCTTTTTTTTTTTTTTTTTTTTYKTTYTTTCCCTTTTTYTTTTTTTTTTTYKTTYTTTCCCTTTTTYTTTTTTTTTTTTKTTYTTTCCCTTTTTTTTTTTTTTCTTCCGCAATGTGGGCTGACAAACACAACAGATTGTGCGAACTGGATTGGAATTGCAACTTGCAGTGGAAACCCTGGCTGACCACGGAAAGCCGGGGGGAACACCTGCCAAACAACTGCTTCCACATTTTGCACCAACCGACAAACTCTGTGCTCATTCCAAATCATACCTCAGCCGCTGCAACCCCACCGCCTACCCACCCTGTCTCCCACCCACGTCCCTGCCCCTGTGTCCCCTCGCCCCTCGCCCCTCGGCCTGTTCAACCCGCCCATTCTCCCACCTTCCAATGCTGGCCAAGGATGATCTGCCCTGCGAACTCAAGATGTGACTGTGTGTGTCAACTGGGGAGATAGGAAGCTGGAATAGTGTTTTTTTGTTTTTTTAAGCCCAGGTTGTTGCAGAGGTGGGATACTAGACCAATGACAGTTACCCACAGAACTCGGCCACTCCGTTGTCCAGCTGAACCCCTCTGAAGACCCCACCCACCCTTCCTCTCATCAGTTTTGCCCTGGCGCACTCCCAACCCCCGTCCCACCCTAGTGTTAACCACCCGCAGAGTACTAGATAGCACAAGCCATCATGCCGGGAGGATAGAGGGATGGTAGGCATGACTAGGGCTTCGTCGGGCTGATGTACAGATTCACATACTCTCTGTACGCTTCTCAGGATTATGAGGCTGTTGCCTCCACACAATGCGCACGTATTCAGTGTAACGGGCGAAACACACACGTAAAGGGACGCTGGACCCGCTTTCCAGCAAGTGCTGCTCAGTGGGGTCCACTTACGGACGCTGCTCTTATCACCTCAGTAAGTAACAAACCCCGGAGGATTCTCCGGGAGGAAAAAGAAGTGTTTCCCAGCTACAGCTTCCCACAGGAATGGCTGACATCACACATTTGATGCAGGGCAATCGTGCGAGCCGGTGGCAGGGGGTGATCTATCTGAACCCCGGGCAAGTGGCTGATGTTCCTTCAACAGCCATCCTGATAGAAAGGAAATGGACAGCTGAGAAAAAGAACCAGAGAATAAAAACCGCAAACCACCAGTACACCCAGGCCTGGAGGCTGTGCACTGCATGCCAAGCTTTGCCAAACTGCCAGCGACACACTTTTTTCTTAAGGCAACGGCGAATATGCAAAAATAACAAGCGGCAGCAAACAAACAGCTGCCGAGTTCGAAAAGGCAATGAAAGCACCGCACCCATGACAGAGGCAGAGATGTCATAACTACAGGGGGGGGCTGTGGTGCAACACGGGAAAGGGGGGGAAATTTTATATTTTGACTGAAATTGCCATTTTGAACTCACGCCAGGAGCACAGTACCATTTAGTGTTTTTTTCAGCCTTTTTAAACTCAAAACTCAAAACTCAAAACCTGCCACGTCCGCCGTTGTTTCTTGTTCTTTTTAGGCTGGCACCGCCAGCCATTGTGGTCCAGTAGGCCAGAGCAGAAAAAAGTTCAGAGTTGGCAACGAAACATTTTCTGCAAGGCTGGGGCTGTGTACTGGCCGTTTAAGTGGCTGTCTGGTCAGGACCTGTGGCTGCTACCGGTCACCATGATCAGAACTAACTGCATGTGGCTTTCTTCTTTTTTTGTAGCTTTCATCACAGATCCTACAGATCATTAACACCCCGCTGCCAGAAAACTTGTTACACGGGAACTTAAACCACAATTCCAGGTCTTGAGAAGTTCTTCTCACTACCGCACAAAACAAACAAACACAACTCCAGGTGCTAGGACCCCACCAACGTGGTTACCTTGCAAATGGAGAAAACTTCCCTATGATGATGATGACAAGCAGTACCCTGATGATGATGATGATGGTGATGACGAGCAGCACCCTGATGATGATGACGAACCATTACCGTGATGATGATGTCGAACCACGCCCTGTTGATGATGGTGATGCTGCTGCTGCTGTCGAACTGGGCCCTGTTGTTGATGATGGTACTGGTGGTGATCAATACCCCGTTGCTGATGACGAGCAGCACCCTGATGATGATGACGAGCCATTACTGTGATGATGGTGCTGGTGGTGATCAACGCCCCGTTGCTGATGACGAGCAGCGCCCTGATTATGCTGACACATCTACTTCCTCATGATTGCAGTCGCCACTGCACTCGCACTTCAGTTTACCAAGGGCTGACTCCACTGTACTCCACAGGCATCGACATAGCCAATGCCTCTCAGGTCATATGCACGTCGTGCAAAAACGCAGCGGCAATGGAGTGAAACGTGGAACTCCCAGAGGAAGAAAAACGGGAGTTAGTCCAGTCGCCACATCAGCTTGTGACACGGCATGGACAAGCGCCTTCGGTCACCTGCATGTGCGCAAAGCGCCTAGTTTAAGAAGAGATGGCCACCATCGCCGCCGCGCGCCGTCGTCATGACCCACCTGTGCGATGTCGCAACCCGGGGCGGAGCGCAGCGCTCCAGGTAGCGCCGCGCCCCGCCCCCATATAGCGCTCCAGCCCTAAGTTACAATCTGGTATCGAACACAGGACCTTATGTGAATCGTGTAAGTGACCTAACGTATTGACCTACACAGTGAAATAGTCTGTAGCTGTGCTCTGCTGGGCTCGAGTAAACCGGACTATGCACGCCACCCAGCAGTCTCATGACAACCCCGTAGACAGGATACCCACCATCGCCCAGTCCGCACATACAACAACCATGTTGTTTATTGGGTGGTGCGCAGGCAGTGCCTGTAATAACTTACCTGCGTCATCCCAAGGGGGTGTTCGTCCAGCCGTGTGTCATTCTAACGCCCTCCCGGTGTCCATGCGCAAGGCTGCACAGTTTTGAACCCGCAACCTCATACCACAATGCGCATTTCCAACCGGTGCTCTAACCACTGAGCTACAAGGTGACATTAACTTCTACCCGCGGTCAGATAATAATAATAAAAAAAACTTTCCTATACTAGAAACCCACCAACGACCTCCAGCTCCCCGCTCTTCACTGCATAACCACGTGACCCTCTCCCACGACCGCCACCCTGTTGCCTCACGAAACGATCGGTCGGTCTCCGGATGGCGACCGCAACCTCATTTATGTGCTTAACGACGCAATATATCCCCACTTACGTGCCCGACGCCATTCCCCATATGGAAACTCCGCACTGCACGAGAAAACACATCAATGTATACGCAGCCATCCTGGCTGCGAACTTAGCACCAGCGTGCCCGACTGCCCTTTGCACTAGTCTATGCCTAGTAGGCGTAAGCCAAGCCGGCCGAGCAGTGTCCATATGGCCATGAGTCCGCGTCTGTGATAAGCTCAGATCCGTACCGCGCGGCTTGCCGTATCCCTGAGGAAAAATCCCGCGGAAGCCCCGAAGTACGGACGCGGATAGAAAGGGGTTTTTCTTTCTTTTTGCTTTTGTTTTCTTTTTGAAACGGCTTTTTCATTTTGTTTGGTTAATAACTCCCGGGGGCGAATAGCGGCCGCGGTATGAAAACCAAGAAACGGGTGGGTTGGGACTTTTTGAATCTTTGCGCGTGCGCCCAAGCTCCAGTATCTTCGCGCGTCTCGCATCCCCGTTTCTTGCTTTGCATCCTCGTGCCATCTTCCCTTCTTGCTGCGCGCGTTTTCCCCATGCAGGACTCTTCGTCTTCCCCTACGCCCAGCTTGATCCTTACCCCGTCTTCCGCGAAGTGATTGGCTGCGTAGTTGGGATGCTCGGATCAATGTGGAAAGCGGGAAATCGCGCACCACTTGGACGAACACCCCAATCACGTATCCATGCAATCCCGCGGATCGAACCCTCTAACTCCCCACCTCTCTCTCCTGTCCTGTTCATCTATACCCTGCGCTGCCCGCACCTCGCGCTGTTAACCCGCCGCCTCCCGAGCTATAAATTTGCGCAACCCTCTCCTCTCCCTCTCTTTGATCTCAGCTGCAATGCTGCGCGAGCTATGCGCGAGAGTCCGCGACGCCGAACAGGCTCGACGAGCCCAAGGACGGGCGGAGTGACGACGTGGGGTGGACCCCGCGGTAGTCTCGGGGCGAAGCAGTCGGAGGGACTGAGCAGTGGTGGGGATTGGACGCCGGCCGCGGCAGGGCCTTGTGGCTGTGGTGGTCGGTGGTCTTGGGAAGTTTTGAAGGCTGCGCTTGGGGGCAGCAGTTAATTGAAATTTTTGTGTACAAGAAGGACTCGCTTTTATCTCCATTGCTGCTTTGTCTATGCATGTCGTGTGTGTGAAGCCCCGAGTGATGGGAGCTGGTTATGCGCATGAGTGACGTCGAAGGTCCATGGATGATTAGATGTCCTGTTAAGGGTTGTTGATTGCATGCATGCATGTGTGTATGTACTCGTCCGGGCGGGGATGGGAAAACTGAACTGGGGGACCGTCTGCTTAGGAGTATGAGTGTGTTGATCCGGTTGTTCCCCTCCCCTCCGCAGCCTTTCCTGCGCTCCCGCGCGGGCTTGGCGTAACTCTCTCTCTCTCCTGTTTCGATCGCCTTCCTCTTGAACTAACAGTCATCGCCTTTTAGAGGTTCTCGTCCCCGTACCGGTGACGTGAACCGCTTGCGTCCGCGCGGACGATCGACGCCCCCGCCAAGGGGAGAAAGCTTAGATTTCGACATCCTCCCCCCTACGCACCCACTTTCGAGAGAGAAGAGTTGCGACGTTTGTTGTATGGATTCGGTGTTGGTTCGGATGACCGGGAACGCGGAATCTTGCCCGTGCTCACCACGTACCTCCGATCGTCTCATTTCGCTACCGACCTTCCCCATCACAGATGACGACAGCGTCTACTGCGATGCGGACGTACGGCGCGCGCTGAGGCGAACGGAGCAAGTGTGTTCGCAAGACCCGCCTCGGGCTTGTAAGATAAGGGGGAACGGGTTTGTGTTGATTGATCGCTTTGATTCCCCGACTCTAATATTGCCTTATACGGGYTTAACGGTGTTGCCCTGGTCGGTCGCTCACGCCGCGTGGCGACCGCAGTTTGATTGTCATTGGTGTCGCCAGGGGGACTCGTGTTCGTGGCGACGGCTTGTCCTGGGTTACGAGGGAGCGACATGTTTCCCCGAGTTTTCCCGTAGTGCGGGGGCGCTGCTCGCGCAATTTCGAATTCAGATGCCGGCGAGTCCTCCCGCCGCTCTACCCTCCCGRAAACTTTCGCGCGGGCTCTATGAGTCCGATGCCGAGGCTTGAAGGACTCGAACCAACCACCTCTACAGCAAAAGACCCGAGGGTTCGGCCACTTCGTGAGGCCGATGACGAGGCCTGAAGGCTTCGAACCCACCATCTATCCCCGGAACCCATGACGACTGGAGTTTTTGTCGTCTGCCGCCATGGCCTCCTTCCCTTGATGCCTTTTCCCGCCCCGATGCACGACGACAATTCATTTTCACTGAAACCCTTCTGATTTTATCGTTTCGGAGTAGTCCGACCCCCGCGGGACTTCGCGACGACAGTTCGACTCCGAGAAAAACCTTGGCCAAGAAACGAGAGCCTCCCGTTCCGTCCGGGAGACTCAACCCTTACAACCAAAAATCCTCGGCCACGCCCCTCCTAGAACTCGAATCGGCGACCCCGTACGGGAAGTTGCGAGGGGGCGTGAGGTTGGTATCAGAGCTGATTTGTTTCGGCTCCGAGGTTTTCCTAGGACGATTACCCTGTTCTAAAGTTTCTCCTTTTTTCTTTTGATCTTTTCATTAGATTTTTCGCATTTTTGAGTAGGCTCGCTCCCCGTCGACGGAGGCCCGCGAATAGCAATCAAAACCGAGCGAGAGGCCGGGCTCGAAACCCGCCTCCCGCGATGGTGGAACCCGGAATTGGGGGTGAAAACGACGGCGACAACCATGCGGGGATGGCCAATCATCCCCTGTACTTTGTACCTCCTCCCTCCAGAGTTCCCATTTTTTTCTGAAGATGACACCGATCCTCGCACCTGGTTAGCTGCCTTGAAAGCCCAGGGCTGGTCGGACCAATTGCTCCGAGAACGAACTCCCGGAAGGTTAGCCGGAACCGCTTTTGAGTGGTACGGACAAAACCCCTTCACTAATTGGGCAGCCTTCCAGAGGAAATTTCTCGATAGATTTGATCACATCGCACCTGGTCAATGCCTCCGCTTAATAAAGGAATACACACAGCAGCCTCGGGAGACCTTAGCTAGATATGCTGAACGTTTTACGTACCAAGCCGAACGCTCCGGGGTGGATGAGAAAATGGTATGGACTGATTTCGTCAGAGGACTGTCCGACTCTCGTCTGCGGAAAAAGATCCGCAAGAAATGCAACCCTATAGAACATACCCTGACGGAGCTAATTCAGTACGCATTTAAGTACGGGAAAGAAAATTACGATGTGGCCCTGGACTCAGAATCCGACGAAGATGACCCTTCGGGTGTTCGACGCAATAGCTACTCCGCTACGGCACGAATGTTCGAAGATCGCTTCGGGTTGGGACCGGCAAAAAAGGCTCGGATCAGAAAGCTTCTTCCTCTGCTTCGGCCTCCCGTCGCTCCAATCAAACGCAAGGAAGCCGGAGCGAGGAAGAAGCATCCATGAAAGAAGTCGTGGCCCAACTAGTTACAGTAGTAGCCCCGTTGACGGAGTTTGTTCAAGGTCTGCAACGGCAACGCATAGCCGCCGCACAACGGCAACAGGCGGCTATGGCTGTCTGAGCCCCTATGATAAGACCGGCTGTGGCCGGGGCTGCCCCACCCCTACGCTATTACAACTGTAATCAGCCAGGCCACCTTGATTGTCCGAAACCCCGAACTCAGGGCGGGCCCACCGGACCTTCCCAAATCCCGCTGGCTGCTCCCACCGCTGCAGGACAGGGGAGGGTAGCCACGGTAATGGGCACAGGAACGACGGAGATGGTGACCCCGGCGGTCACTGAGATAGGACCCGATGAGTATATGGCCGCATCAATGTTCGAACCCGGGACCATCGAAGTGATACGTCACGTCCAACGGATTACCGAGGAAAGCGACCTCGGGCCGTGGCGACCAGGATTCGAGGATCTTGCGGTACCTGGTCCTGAATACAAGGATGGCCATATCGACGTATTGGATGCCTTGAAGGCTCTGGATCTTCGGATCCCCGTCCCTATTCCATATCTGCTAACCATTTCCGAAGCGGCTAACGAAAAGTTGATC